ATTCATTCGAGCTTGTTTCAAGTTATCGATCATGAGTCCGTAACTCTTGTATCAGTTAATGGCTCTGTGTATGGATGGAACGTGTGTGTATATATGGGTGTGCACGCGTGCGCACGCGTGTGTGTGCGTGTTTATTAAAGTTTACATACCTGCTGTTGCGGTACGAGAAGCCAAGGTTTCCGAGGCAGAGCGCCATGAACTGCTGGGCGCGCTTCAGATGTCCTTCCAACCTGATATAGACTCTGCCGAGACGACGCTCGCCGGCCGAGATGTCCAGGAACACTTGAGGGCTCTCCTTGCTCACGCAGGCCGTCAGAACGTTCAGCTAGGGAAAGAGACGTTACTTGAAGGATAGACGAGAGCAGAAATATATAGCACGCACACACACATCTAGTCATATCTAGTTAGTCGTAAATTGTACGGCGATTTTGTAATAGATTGCCACTGCCGAATTCTTCTGCGAAAGAGAACTTTTTTCTTATTAGGTAATTCAGCAATTAATTCTCAGAGAGGGTTTTTAGTACTTACATGCTAACGAACATGTAAATCGAGGAAAATTCGTAAATGTAAATATTTCTACATATTTCTAAATTTCAGTAAATCTGAAATAATATAACCCATTCTCACCAATATGCATATGCTCACTGTACCTTGATGGCCACACTATAGGCCGTGGACGGCGGCCTAAGACTATAAAGGTGGATGCCCTTCTCTTCGACATCTACACGGCCAAGAGACCCATTGTCACTGAGTGCCAGGATCGCGGGCCTTGTTGCCGGCACAGAGCTAAGTGATGTCAGTCCAGATCTGTTGCTCTGCTCTTCTGAGCGGTCGAGCGCTGAGACTCGCTGCTTAACGGCCTTTGCTGATTCGAAGACGGAGGTGATGGACGGGAGGTCCTGCGCAGCCAGGGCACTGCGGTTGACCCTGGCCGTCTCCTGCAGGAGGTGTGCTGCCTCCTGAAGGTCTGACACGTAGCTCAAGGCGCCTCGGATGGTCTCGCCCAGACGCACTACAATCTCCAGGCAGCTTTCTTGGGAGAGTGTCTCAGCTAGACCCTTAATCTGGAAAAAAATGTGTGCAGCCTTTTGGTACTATATGAGACGGCGAAGTACGGAAAAGCATTACCTCCCATTGTATTTTGGCGTCCATTATTGATGTTATTTCAGTTTTACGTTAGGCTTCGGTGTTCCATTATTAATAAAGTAAAATCAATAGAGTTTGCTTTTTTATTTTAGCCTTAGAATATGCAGTTGGGAGAAATATGAATGGAATGACTAATTTGGATATGGAAGGCATTGTTATTAGATATGTCGGATTGGCAGGAAGCCCCAGAAATACGCAATCAGGGAGTCTTCACACAGTTCATGCACACCAGACTCTTTGGATTACTGGGTCGCTTTGGGAAGGAAGTTCCCGCAGGCTTACTGGCACTGCTTCACTTGAGAAAAGAGAGGGGAACAGATTTCTTTTCCCACCTGGCAAACTAGGTAAAGTAGATCCCCTGCAGGCGAGAATTTGGGAAACACGTTTCATTTGCATCCCTGTGGACCTGATCCAAAGCCTTCAGGAATCCTGCACACAGGTGCCGAGAACCGTGGACCTGCATTGCTGGACCTGTTACAAAGCTGGGGGCAATGTAGCCTGTTGGAGGATCCCTCTGAACTGTAGGGTTTTCTAAAGTACTAAATTCGGTGGTACTAATCATAGATTGGCTTTGGCTACCCTCCAAGTTAACTTGTTGCCCATGCAATGGCCAACATATGCTAGGGGCCACAGAGGTATATCTCACATGCTCGACTGGTCAGAGAAGAGGAGCTGCAAGACAGGTTTACAGAACTCACACACTACTGAGGAGGTGCTATTGGACTTACAGCTAGACTATATAGTGAAAAGGGGCAAGGTAAATCGTGCAACCTAAAAGATGTTGTTTGATTGATTTAAAGATATATTGTCAACACAATGAAATACTACAAAACAAAACAATGAAAAAATATTAGTGGATTTTCATTATTAATGTTTGCATAATAATTTTACACTTTTGATCTAAAAAAATGTACTCGACTATCAGTGTTTTATCATAATTGTTGTCTTTGCCACTCCATTATTTTGTTGTTCTTTTGATCTGTCTTGCCACAAAATCTGAGCTCTCTCTGCTGTTATTCTCAGAAAAAAAATCCATCGTTATAGAACTGGTAGCAATAACACCGCTACCAGAATATGACATTATGGATAATATTGATCAAAATAACAATGACATTAACTTGGCGTTTAACGAAATCTTGCTGTATAAAAGTAACCATTTCTAGATTTTAGTATAGAAATGTAAAAGAAAAAAACTTACTTGCTGTATAACTTCGTGAATGCGGCAAGTGTTGTGTTCGGGTTTGGGGTGCTGTTCGAAGAGGCACTCCCCGCATGCTGCTGTTTCGCACGTCTTGCACCAGAAGGCTAGTCTGACACCGTGTGCCTGGCAGTCTGTGTCTCGGTTCCCTGAGTACTGAAAGGAAGAAGGAAGGATGAGGTCTGCCTCTGCATTTATCTACTGGAAGACATTATAGTTGAAAAGTGTGACTTTGATGGTGTTAGTAACTGGGAGTGATGAGGATCATAATATGCCGCCTATGAGGTCATTCATACTTTATGTTTATATAGTCCAGGCATTTTACAACAAAATATACCTCAACCTGTGACTAATTGCAAAAGAAGGTTTAATACCTATTTTTGATTAAAGAAAGTCTCTTCTACAATAAATCTAGTCTCCAAAAATCTGAGCACAGGAAACTGACTAAAAACGTTTAATTGGAATCCTGTATGATGCTGCAGGAGATCGAAGCTATTTTTTTTTTTTTTTTTTTTTTTTTTTTTTTTTTGCTCTTTTTCCATATGCAGTACAACCTAACGGACAGAAACGAGTCTTGGGTTTGTAGCTCAGGTAAGATCATTATTATACCCAATGCAAGATAAATAACATTCACTAAAGCTCTTTTAACACCAGGAAAATGCCAACCATCGTGATGAATTTAGCCATTAAGCGTTGTGAACGCAAATTTTCATTTTCAACATTTCGATTGGGAAATCAACAAGTATATTATTAATTCGAATAAAAGAAAACCAAAAAAATTACTTCCGTTTATAAATTCAGCATTCTATCTTACTGATGTGGTTTGTGTAATATATAAAAATAATCACCAGAAACTATAACTATTACCGTACTTGAGGGTCACTCCAGAAAATGTATATATTTTGACTGCTGAGAACATGATGCTATACATTAAACCATTCTGGGAAACGAATTTCACGAAATTTCGATGTTTAAATTAAATCTGGGTATTATCCATGCCCGCCTTACCGAAACAAACAGCACAATGCAAGAGTTGCCAAAGTGCAATTTAATTCCGGCTAATAGAACAAGGATGTGTCAAATGCAGGGCAAGCAAGAGATATGACAGACACCTTGACCGTCCTTGATGTTGTAGCTGCTCATGATCGTTTCTCTCAATATGCCGACAAAACCCCGAAGAATGTCATGAACGGTATAAAAGCGAATGCTAATGTCGACACAGCCAGGAGCGTCGGAGAAAAGATCCTGTCTTCCATGAAGATGAAGATTACCACAGAGTATACATTCACATGAAAAGCCCAGGCAATTACGACAGCATCCAAGCGTTCTATAAAGGTTGACAGCGAGCACGTTCAAGCTGACCCTCAGCTTTTATTTCAGCAGCTAATCATCGCCTGTGATGACATTCAGCTCGAAGAATTATCTCAATGTGACCTGTGCGTTTATCCAACCTTTCTATCCTACATGTCTCTCAGCTTAGCCGATGCAATGTGGTCAAGGCTTACACAGGAGTCCAAGTCACAACCTCAGGGAGATGGAGGTGTTCTCCACCGAGTGCCATTGCCAAGAGGTTCCCTGATGTGCAAAGACCTCTGCGATTTATACTGCACATATGTCTGCCGGAAAGAGTGATGGTAGTCTTTGATGGCTATGATGAACTGTCAACGAAAGCAATGATACAGCAGATGCAACTGTCACCTTCAGAGAAACCGGGATACATTTCTCTCGAATCCCCAAAACAAGAAACGCTTCCTGTGGTTGTTGAGCAAGGCTCTACAAAATGCAGGTTGTGTAATACACCATGCTGATGGTGATGCTGATCTTCTGATCGTAAACACTGCTGGTGACGATGCAGACTTACTGGTCCTCTTGGGTTTTTTATACTCCAGACTATGACTACGAGATCTAATTTCGACTAGAGCCAAAAGCAAACTCAAAAGTACACCGTGTCTGCCATATGGAGATTAAACATCACCTAGGTGACGAAATATGCAGGAATTTCTTATTTCTGCACGCTGGAACCTGCTGCGATACCACTTCACGCCTATATGGAGTTGATAGTTGAATTTAGAGAATGCACCTTATGGAGCAGGCTAATGTGTTTGGCTTTAGCCTGCTCCATACCTCTGTATCTGACGTTGTTACTGCAGGTGAAAAGTCACGTCGCTCTTTGGTGGTAAACGAGGCACCAGTCTTGACAAGCTGAGGTATCAACGATACTATGAAAAGCTTGCATCGAAGACCTCGCATGTCCAGCCACAGAATCTCCCACCAACTGCTGCAGCGGCACGATTCCACAGTCAGCGTGTCTATCTCCAGGTAAAGCAGTGGCAAGGAGAGGATTCATCAATGATAGAGGATTGGGGATGGAAATGCGATGATACTTGAATTATTCCAGTTACGAGTGACTTGCCGCCAGCCCCACAATCTCTGCTGCAGATACTACATTGTAACTGTCCGTCGGATTGCAATACGATGAGGTGCATCTGTAGGAGGAATGGCATGCAGTGTTCTCTAATCTGTGGCCAGTGCAAGGGTACAGACTACAAAAATTCTACCCAAGACTATCGGCCGGTTTGTTAAAATTGTACCAGGCCCAACCCAATGAATTTTCGTAAATACAGATGCAGAATAAAGGCATATCTGTCTATATTGA